AAGTTACACGAGTGCCACAAGTTACACGAGTGCCACAAAGTTACATGAGTGCCACAAAAGTTGCAAGAGTGCCACAAAAGTTACATGAGTGCCACAAAAGTTACATGAGTGCCACAAAAGTTACATGAGTGCCAGGTTACGGTAGTGCCATAGGTTACATAAGTGCCATTAAAGTTACAGAAATGCCACTGTAGGTTACACGAGTGCCACTTTAGGTTACACAACTGCTGGCATTTTACCTCTACTGCGCGAAGTTCTCCGGTCCATGGACATCCAAAATGAGAACATTTCACAATCAGATTCATAATTTCGCGACGACAAGCAGTGTCGGGAAATATCTGCAACAGAGAAAATGGTCTAACTAACAGTTCACTTAAACAAACAATGTCTTACTTAAATGACTTAATTCAAAATAACTATATGTTATTGTCTACAATAAAATTGCTTACGGTAGACAAGGACCTCCGGAATACGAACGGAATCTTGCTTTATTCAACTCAAGAGTCAACTACATGATCATAAATTTTGATGAAAAAATATACAAAGTTAGCGTGACTGTTTCCTTGCCTGGTCGCGTGACAATGGCTGCCTGTCTGCCGGACACAATGGCGAAGACTCTCTAATTAAGGAAATGCAAAGGAAACACTTTAACGTTTGAACTTAATGAATAACAGTGTTTTAAAACCCTAATTGAATGTGTAGATCTTATAGTAAACGGTAATAAAGGCTGAAATATTACAAAGCCTGATTATAAGCTAAAAAGCGTTGAAAAGTCAAACATTGCTTCATACAGACATCCCCCGTAAGAACTTATATCTCAAAAAGCATATCAAATTCTTATTCTCTGAGTCAAATGCTCACCACGTTTCCTAACGGCTGCTAGTCATATTGACAGAGTGCACATTTAAGCATTCTTCAAGCCACAATGTCATCTTTGTTCGGCCATTACCTAAACAGTGATTCTTTACAGATGTCACAAAGCCTGTGCCCACATGGAACAATCTGTACTGGATCCCTCATCGGTAACTGACACACAAGACATTCAAGATAATCAGGAACTTTGCCTGTCAGCTCGTAGTCATATCCGCCAAGTTCTGGCACATTCTGTCCAGCCGCCATGTTTGGTTCCACCTTCGATTCAGAAAAGAAAGGGAAGAGAGAAGTTTTGCGTGACACGACGAAAGAATATGACGTCATCTCGTTAAGTGTGGGCTTTACGTTGTGTAAGTGAAACGCTACGTCCACATTTGGAAATAGACGAAGATTTCATTTCTTGCGTAGCAGCAGATTTCACTTGTGAGTCAATTTTACCCCATTGAATTCAAAGCTGAATAAACTGGGAATACAGTTTAATAAAACAATAATAAAAACGAGGGAAATACATTACAAAAATCTAAAGTGATACCTTTAAAAAAAACCCAAATAGTTTACAAATACACTGAGGAAAAACTTGTAGTAATTCTGAGGGTATTTATGAAAGGAGCTTTCTCTTTCTAAATGGGAAATCAAACCAGCTCAAAAGCCCTTCAAACATCAAATAGGAAGCTTTTGATAAACTTCAAAAACGTCTCATTAACAACCAAAACTTGTGAACTTCGAATGTCAGCAAACACGTATATTGAAAGTATTCTGATCTTATGATACTCGCCATCAGATTCTGTTGAGTCCCTGTTTTTTTCGCAGGTTTCTCGCAGTCAAATGGTGACTTGATTACGGGTGAACCAATACCTTCAAAACTGAAAACGATAGATATGGATCGAAAGCTGGCTCAGGAGTTTCTTACAATATCTTGGTTCTCAGTATTTACTACCACAACTTGACGTTAAGGTAAGAGGCCACCGAGGGAATATCCCAGAATGCACTGCGTGACATCGTCCCTCTTTAACGCGTGTTGGATTATGCTTCTATAAATATACTAGCACAGCACGCAGTTCTGTGCTAGTACTGACCAGAAGCGACAAGGCGGCTATGGAATAATGGTAAGAGAACTTAACACGTTGTATTCCCCGCATTTATTATCCTTTTTTCTCTGTTTTTTTAAAATTTTTCTTTTTTTAAAATTAATTCTTAATATGTTAGGTATTCCCGTTAATGGCCTTTAGACCCCAAAATCACACACAGTACGATTGGGTCACCTGTGACCTTGCCCGCTTGCGATTGCCCGCTTTGATCCCACGCGAGTATAGTTTTCGTCACTTTTTTTGGACAATGTCGGCTATGAAGTTGCAAAAAAACGGTCTAAACAAAGAACACATGAACGACTCTCGTGGGTTTATTGTGCTACAAACACAGCTCCTTTTTTTCTCGGCTCTCGAAATGAACTAGTCACTCCTGATTCCTAAAGCAACATTTTTCTGCTATTTAATAAATCCTTCACTGACCAAGCTTCTTCGGTCAAGATGGCTGGATATTAGCCTTGTTCTTTTCCTGCGTTTAATGGACCAAGTTGTAGTCTTACGCTTGGTCAATATCGTATATGTATGTTTCGGGATGGATCGGTTAGTTAACACTATTGCATGGGTAGCATGCCTATGTTTCACTGGTACACGAGAAACTTATCACAAGAGGAAAAAAAATCAAAGTTCGTTTTTTTTTTAATGAATGACCCCATGGATCTCTGCATTTGTAACCAGAGAGGTGTTTAAAGGACGAGGAAGAGTCAATTCTGGCATGCGGTCATTAGTAATCACTGAATGGATACACTACTAGTTTAGCACAGCAGTTATTTTGGGTTCCCTGAAGCAGTATTTATTTACTCTCAAGTTCAATATTCTGTAAGTTTTTTTAATTTATCATTACAGAAGAGTGCGATTGAATTTCGTTGCTGTTGTTTTTTGCCACAGTTGAATTCTCACACTCGCCTATTTCAACGACCTCATTTACATTTCTCCCTTGCGAAGAGGGACTATTTTGCGCACCAGTATGTATAATTCATTTACACAAGGAGGGCAATTCGAAGTGAAAAACCCTACGAAATATGTAACAAAGTTTGTACGTAGCAGCCTCACACCGAGCAATAGCTAGAATCATTTCAGATACTACGCTAGCTCAAACGAAAGAAACACGAAGGACCTTGACAATATCTGTGCGATTTGAGGCAATGATCTTCCAAGGCACCCTCTTAACATTGCTGAACAGATCAGCTGATGGAAACTATCACTTTCTTTACCCCACTCTAGAACCCAAATTAGCCAATCCCTGTCTTATGTAACCAATGTACTCCTATAGTCGAAAGAGTACATCCTTCAACGCAGTAAAGAAAAAAAAAAAAGAACACACACACACACATCTTCAAGGTAAGACTAGAGTGACTTAGAAGGCGGCCATTAAAAAAACACTGTTAATATAATCGTTCTTTTTCCGCCAAAATCGTCAGTTCCTCGAATTCGCTAAGAGGAACAATGTTGGTTTGTTTGCTTAGAGAAGATTAGGGAAACATTAAAAGCACTCTAGCTTCGGGAGGATTCGGATGGATAGGGGGGCGCTAAGAATAAGCTATTCCCCCCTCATTCCCTCTGTACTGAGCATCTTAAATCTTAAAAACGAAAGGTTGTTTCATGTCGGAACAATAATTAAGGTATGGATCAAATAAATAAGCCATGGCCAGCATGGGGTAAGTTTTAAATTTTCTTTCCGTGACGTCCATCTTTGTGTTGCATTAAGAATATTTAGCGCCTCGTTTGCGCAGCCGAAACGGTAAGAAATAAAATTTTGTTGTCTGTACGTTGCTGTGAAATAATTGCAGATATGTCATGAATCATTCTTTGATATACCAAAGACAAGTCAAAAAGTTGATATCAAAAAATATTTTACAAACGTCGTGATTAAGACAGCACAATGGAATGTTTCCTTTCTCTACTGTTCAGGACACACGTAACTAGATCACGGGCATGTGCTCTAATAAAGGTTCCAGTGTAGACCGGTATTGTATCTTTTAGGCTAGAATAAAGGTCGTGAAGAAGTCACGAGCTTTCATGACAATTTTTACAACTTATGCCCACCCCTCAGAGTGGCCTGCTAAATGCCCTCTCTCTCTGAAATAAATTCGCTCTCACTTAACTTTTGAATGGCATGGTGCCGTCAAAGCCCACATTAACTTTCACAAATTTGTTGTTTAGTCTCATTTTTTCCGTTTTCAAGTTTTCTACGCAAGCTAGGGGGAGAACGTTCGCCAGATATTTGAAAGTAATCAATTTGGCGATTACATCGATCTAATTTACATTAAAATACTTACACATAACACTGCGTATATTTTACAAATGCATTACGAAAGGCGCACACGATGAAACATTGTTGCTAAAACGCTTTTCACAAAGGGGCTACTACAAGTGGTACTGACACAGCTCCCGAGGAATAAACTGGATATCCCAGAGGTGGATCCGCAGCTTGAATAGTCAGGTTCCTGAGGAGTGTTGGATGAGCCTGGATGCTGTACCGTTCCTCGTCATCGTTGGTAAAGTATAGAAGTTCTAAAGCTAGAGAGGCCCACTGACCTCGCACGCATTCACCATTAAGGCGCCCGATTGGGGCCATTATCTCTTGCTTTGTGAGAACACGGCTAGTGTATGTGCCCTGAAGAGATACAATAAAAGAAGAGCTTATTAGTGGCACTGAAGCGAATGCACTGGAATGTAACAATACACGCAAGAATAGTGTCCCCATATTGTAGCTAGTTTGTTAACATACCTTACTTTTATCTCTCCCCAGCGAGAACAGAAATGGCTTTTCATGCATAATAGACAACTGCCATTCGTGGTCTGTCTCACTGCCTAAGTACCAGTCCCTATCATATTCTGTCAAGTATTCCACTAGTTCGTCTTCACTTGTCACTTCTCCAAGAACAGCTTCGTCGTAAGTTAACTTGAAAGCGTACCTGCAGTACATCAAAGCCAAAGTGGAATCAATGATCTCAGACTCGTGAAATACTAATTTCGTGGAACTTTCTCCTTCTGGTAAATACAGAGTGCAGGCTACGCAAGGTGGAAATGAGACATTTGTTTTCCAGTGGGTCTTAGTTATCAATTTTCTCAATGTTGGTAATGTTAGAGTGACCAAGGTTGGAACTTAGCTAACGTTTGGTGTCGGAAAGCGTAGCGTTATATTTTTCTTAACTGACTTTCTTGTTGATTTACACAGGAGAAAGTTTAATGGTTGATATACGATAAAGACAGGAATGCGACATTGATAAAGTTGAACAACAGCAAACCAAAAACAAAAGGAAACCAAATACAGACAGAATATTTTGGGGAAAACCCTGGGTATAATAAAATCAGCTGACTGATCGCAAGTATGTTGGCTTTTTATGTTGGGGAGCAATTCCCACATCTGTCAAGCACTTTTGTGGTTCCCAGTGCCCTCATCCTGTGTTTCCAATTACAGATCACACTTTGTGCTCAGAAGGAGAAAGGATTCCAGACACAATGCAATACATCGATCATATTCAGCTTCATCTCTCGTACCTGTACGCCTTCAAGATCAGCGATTTAAGCTCTGTCTCTTTTTCCAGCCAATCAACATGTATTGACCAAGGTACGTCGCCAGTGTACACTTTGTGAACGTGACCAGGTCCAGCAGCTACAGCAGAGGATCCTGGAAATCCCAGTACTTCAACTAACGCATAACACGTGCATGTCAACTGACGGTAGAAGCTCGTCAGAGTTGAATCGCCAAGGATACTTTCTGCAATGCCCTTGCTGTTGATTCCAAAGTTTAAACCCTTCACAACATGTCTGAACCAGAAATCGGGAAATTTATCCGATAAAGAGGCTAAATTATGTCTGTCTACTGGGATGGAAAACTTCCAATGATGTGGCAAATCGAGTCTACTAGAATACTCTGATGTAAAACTAACTGTCTTCGTATTATTGCTTGCGCCTGCTTTAGTATCTCTCTTGGTAGCTCCATAGGTAGGAACGTCATAATCGAAGTCACTAAAAACTGGATCGACTTTCGCGAGGAGCTTTTCGCTTGAGCCTTTATTTTTTGATGCGCTTGCCTGTCCAATATCCAGTGCTGGAAAACCGCCAAAATTGAAAGATTCTTCGAGATCATCAATCCCTTCATCTTTGGCGTGAGGACCACTACCGCTCCCTGAATGCTTGTGTTTTCCAATGCTCGTCTGGCTTTCATCCAGTTTCAAGCTATCCTGAGACCATACACTATCGCTAAGGCTGGGCAATGAACTGCTTCGTCGTTTCTTAGGTGATGTAACTCTTGTAGTTGGTTCTTGATCATCTGTTGAAGCCTTGAAAGCATTTGGAATGTCCAAATCATCCTGACTTATTTGTCTGACTAGTGAAGCTTCTTTGGGTTTTGGAGCAGGTAATACCTCCACTGACATCGCAACCTCTTGCTTTGCAATGTCAATGGAAATTTGTTGTGAGGTTTGTTCCGCGATTTCAAACTTTCGATCTTTACAATAATTCACCAAAACCCAGACAAGAGTCTTTAGGAAATTCTCTGAATTCCTCCGTAAATTTTCTGGCTGATCAATTATACCAGTCAGTACATTCTTGGCGTCTGAGTAGGTATCGAGGATCAATGTGTCACATGGGCGAAGAACGTTTGCTGCGTGTTGGTTCAAAGAAATCAGTGGCCATTTTCCTTCGCGAACAAAAATATCCTGAAACACGTCATCTACACGCGTGGCTTCGACAGTGTGGCACGAGGTCTCCTGCAGCTCAAGGCCTTTCATTACGGTTGTGCAAAATTTGTAACCACACTCAAGTACGTGGACCCAAATCAAGCGGTCCTGAAAGCGTACCAAGTAGTGGTCCCCTGGTGATGGATTACCCAGACTTCCCATTGACATGGTAACACTCAGAGTTGACACTACCTGAGGTGTCAGTTGTTTGTAAAACACGGAGTCAGGGCAGGTTGCTGCTGCTGTGCTGGCAGCCTTTGGCCAGGACCGCAATGGCCGCGGAAAGCCCACCAAGAACACAGGAAGGCAGAAAAGTGGTAGCAATGGAGCGGCTAAAATGGTTGCAGCCCCAAGTACAGCTAGTACCACAGGCAGTAATATGGCGGATGCAACAAAAATAGGCACTGTTGCCTTGTGACGCTGTTTTGGAAGTTTCCACGCTGTGACAGTGAGGGTCAGCATAAAGGAGATCTTATTTAGTAGCTGCTGTAGTCTGTCCCTACAGGCTCCCACAAGCATCAGCTGTAGACCAAGGCCTGCACTATCCCACCAGGTAGCCACATCTGACTTCAGAACTATCGCAGTCAGATAAACAACAGATATTTCCAATAGAGAATCGAAGGTGTTTTGCCAGACCTGTATAAAAATAATCTTTTTTTTACTGAAAAAGTATTAAGTAACTGTAATTGAGCATTGACAATTTCTAAACAAGATTTACCACTGATGACTGATGTGGGATCAACATGAAGGTCATCAGCGGGTAAAGCCATCACCTTCAATTTACGTAGATTCATTTCTTTGAAAGAACACTCAAATTAAGTGTAACAATCAGCTTTTTTACCTGTCTGAGAGCCCTGACAGTTCCAATGGCCACAGCAAACTTTGAAACATTTGCCTTCTCTGGAGCAAGGAACAAGCTGAGAAAGGCAACTTGAAGTAAAGGTATAACTGAAACAAACAATTGGCAAAAAATTGGTGTAAGTATTTTCTTATTCGTGATTACAGTGTTAGGTAAAAGTGAAGAACAGTTCCCAAAAGATACTGTCAGCTGTCTGTCGGCCGACTGTTGGCTGACGGTCGACCAACTGTCGGCCGACCATCGGCCAACAGTTGGTCGACCGTCGACCGTCGGCCGACAGACGGCCAACAGTGAAGAACGGTTCCCAAAAGATACTGTTGGCCGTCTGTCGGCTGACTGTTGGCCATCTGTTGGTCGACCGTTGGCCAGCCGTCGGCCAACAGTTGGTCAACCATTGGCCAAGAGTCGGCCGACAGTCAGCCAACAGTGAAGAACGGTTCCCAAAAGATACAGTCGGCCATCTATCGGCCATCTGTCGGCCGACTGTTGGCCGTCTGTTGGCTGTCTGTCGGCCGATCGTTGGCCAACAGTTGGTTGACAGTCGGCCAACAGTTAGCCGACGGTTTTTGTTATGTTGCAGACTAAAGTGTCAGCCAACAGCCTATTTTAGTGTAAAAATACAAGTTAGGAGGTCGGTAAATACAAAAATTGGTTGTCGGTAATGTGTCGGTATCATGTTGGCTGACAGCCGAACATGGGAGCTATTCTTCACTTTTACCTCAAAGTGAGGCTAAGTGCTTAACTGTTCATATGAAAATAAGTTTAACTTGCATGCGTAGGAAAACTTATAATCACACGAAAGATGAGCATCAGGATCGGACTCCCTTTGAAAAAGATGCCATTTAAGATAATTTAGAAATGGACCTAATGGTCCAGCCAAAGAATACAACACAAGGCATCAGCCAAACCAGAATTTCCCAACCATGTCCTACCTACATGTAGCTCAAAGCAAAGAGCAAAAGAACCTACTCACCATAACAAAGCAAAGCTTGCCGCAGAAGACCAACATATTTCAGATTCTTTTTTCCTTTCTTAAATTCTCTAGATAACTCAATACTTGCTGGAAAAAATGGATTTCTAAGCAAACCAAAGAAAATGCTCACAGATTGTACATCTCCCAGAACTTTAACAAGAAGCAAGAGCACCACCAACAAAACACCAAAGGCATCAAATATGTGCAGGCTTGCCTCTGATGAGAAGTGGCTGGAAACCCCAGCTACAGCCACTGTTAGTACTAACATTACAACAATTATCAAAATTTCTTTCAATTTCCATTCTGATACTATTTCCTTTAAGGTTTTTTCCTTTTTTACTTTGACCCATGCTTGGAGAACAAAGCCAAAGATGTCCATACTGAGCATGAAGCCAGAAGAAGCTGTTATGACAACAATGGCAGTGGCATTGGAAATAAACATTGCCATGACAACTGTAATGCTTGAGATGATAAACATCACCAGCAATCTGAAGAAGAAATAAAAGGTCACTTGCAATGTGAAGAGCATTGTAAAAACTACGTATGATGCACGATCCTCGCAGTAGATAGCGCTATTCATGCAATAGCGAAAATCAGATCTGAAAAAAATCAGGCCTGTATGGGATTCGAACCACTGACCTCTGCGATACTAGTGCAGCGCTCTACCAATTGAGCTAACAAGCCAACTGGGAGCAGGCCGTTAAGTTGATTCGTAATAAACCCGTGATGATAAATCAGATACAATGAATATATGAAGTTCATATATTTTGAACTGCGGTATTA